GCCGCCGCCCCGGCCAAGCCCGCCTCCACGGTCAAGAAGATCGTCGGCCCCAAGCCCGACGGCAAGTGGCACCACGCGCCCGTCCTCTTCTGGCACGTCAAGAGCGTCATCTTCCGCGGCGTCGACCAGGACGTCGTCTCGATGCAGGGCCAGCGCGGCATGCTCTCGGGCGACCTCGAGGAGATGCACGCTCGCGCGCAGCACTTTGACAACCGCGCCGAGTACATGTACAGCTTCCTGCAGGTCATGACGGCCAGCGTCGCGTCCTTCACCCACGGCGCCAACGACATCTCCAACGCCATCGGGCCCTACGCGACCATCTTCCAGATCTGGCACGACATGGCGCTGCCCAAGAAGGACAAGGCCGACGTCCCGCTCTGGATCCTCGGCGCCGGCGGTGCGTTCCTCGTCATCGGCCTGTGGACGTACGGGTACAACATCATGCGCAACCTGGGCAACAAGATCACGCTGCACTCGCCGTCTCGCGGCTTCTCGATGGAGCTTGGAAGTGCTATTACTGTCATGATTGCTACGCGTCTTAGTAAGTGCCGGTGTCGTGTTTGGAATGTTTCTACAGCAAGTGACTGACAGTTTCACAGAGCTTCCGGTCTCCACAACTCAGTGCATCACCGGCGGTGTCGTCGGTGTCGGTCTGTGCTCGGGCACCTGGCGCACCATTAACTGGCGTATGGTCGCCTGGATCTACATGGGCTGGATCTTCACCCTGCCTGTCACCGGTATCATCTCCGGTTGCCTCATGGGCTTTGTCATCAACGCTCCTCGCTGGGGCATGAACGTCTAAACTCAAACCCGGGCTCGTCCAAGTTCAGGGATCGGGAAGAGAGAAAGAACCATTATCCATCTCTTTCATGGTGTTGGGATTGGTCAAACGCGCACAAGTTTAAGGTTCCCGTGCGAATTAGGAAAGTTACAGGTTGATACCACTATAGACTGCAAATTGAGTATCTGTCATACATATATCACATATCACTTCAATGGAGTAATGCTTTGGATTTGGTCCTGCTCGAACCTAGCACAGACAGGCCGGGTCACTTACAAAGATCACCAATCTGCGTATGAATATGTTGTCCGGAGACCGAGGTGCGAAATGCGACGAGAGGCGGCATTACTTAATATTCAGAACTTCTCTCATGCCCTGATTTGTCGTGATCCGCCTAAATGGAGGGTTGCACGTCGATGTCAGACCTGCCAAAAAGAGCATGATCGGCTGCGAACATGGACCGTCGACTAAGGCTCAGTTAGACTGTTAGCGAATATCAATCGCCAGGCACACGAGGTGATGGGCTCTGGCTTATGGGATCGTCAAGATCCCCACGTCTTACCTCATCCGCTTCCCTGATTGGCGCTCGATGACACCGTTTATGGTATCTACACGGATTCATCATGGCAGTGCCTACCAGATGACTGTCGCCTCTCGCTGTTCGGCGGTATGCCGTGGGATTGAACAGAACGGAGAGCACCACGTTTCCTCACATAAAGAGGCGCGATGGAGTTCACCCCTCGTTGACATCTGCTGTATTACCTAGGCGCTCCGACTCTGGAGCGTAAGAATGGGTACCATGCACTCGTTCGCTGCTCTGACCTTACTTCTCGCCTTGGCAACGTCGGCCAACGGCCTCTCCCTCACGATCCCGTCGACTGTCCCAAAGGATGCTTCTAAGCCCGTCGATCCAGATTTTGCCGGCTTTGCCTTCGAGGAGGCATCTTTGAATGAGTATGCGTTGGATGAGTCCGGCAAACCCAACCAGTTCTCTCAAGACTTGATACATGAGATCACCAAGCGGACCGGAGGCAAAGCACTCATCAGGCTGGGCGGCACGAGTGCAGATTATGCACACTACATCCCGACTCAAAAGACACCCGTCTTGCCAAAGGCCGAGGTGTACAACTATCAGGACGTTGGCAACACCACAATTGGTTCTTCGTATTGGAAACTGACCGAGAGCTTCCCCGAGGCCAAGTGGATAATACAACTGCCGTTGGCGAACCCCAACCTCACTGAGTCTATCGAATGGGCACGGACGGCGATAAACACCATCGGGGAGGACAAAATCTACGCCATTGAGCCCGGTAACGAGCCCGATCTTTATGGCCGTGTGTCAAAGCCAGAACTCAAGCCACCGCACTTCCTGGGCATACTAGACAACGAGACCTACGTCGGCAACTTCACCAGGAACGCCAACGCCGTCGCTGAGGCTGCGGACCTGCCCCCCGGACGCATTCTCCAGGCCTTCGACACCTCCGTTCACCTCGGACGCGACGTAGGCGCCGAAGCGTGGGTCCTCGACGTGGAGAAGTGCTTCGGCCTCGGCATCGACGCGGCCAACAACATCCAGTCCGTGGCACATCACTACTACCAGACCAACGGCGGCAGCGCCACAACCCTCGAGGAGGGACTCATGGACCACGCCAAGATCGCCAGCCACCTCGACCTCTTCCGGCCGGCGATCAACTGGCTCGCCGAGAACAAGCCGCAGATCGCCTACATCATGTCCGAGATCGGCAACAGCCTCAACCGGAAGCACGACTACGACTACCAGGCGTCGCTCGGCTCGGCGCTGTGGCAGGTCGACTTCCAGCTGTACTCGCTCTCCATCGGTGTGGCCAGGTTCAACTTCCAGCAGATCATGCACTCTGGGTTCGACCTCTGGCTTCCGGTTGCGAGTGGCGGGATGCCTCCGCAGGTGTTCAGCAACTTTTACGCGCAGCCTCTCGTGACCGACTTTGTGGGCACGGGTGGGAAGACGCGCGTGGCGAAGCTCGCTGATCTTGCTCCCAACGTCATCGCTTATGGTGCCTTTGTAGGCGACCGAGCCGAGAGGGTGACGATTGTGAACATGAACTATTGGAACCGTACTTCGTCGGGTCGAGAGCGGGGAGGAAGGGACATTGATCTCCAGGTTCCAAGCGATGTCAAGTCGGTGACCCTCACACGACTTACCAGTCCCGAGGGTGCGGGAGGCAAGGCGGATTCGATGACTTATGCGGGCAGCCAGTGGACGTTTGAAAGCCTGGGCAAGGAGGTCAAAGGAGTTAGGAATGATACAAAACAGTTGGCTCCGAAGGATAACAAGGTCACGTTCAAGGCTATGCAGAGCGAGGTTGTGCTACTGCATTTGAGACGCTGATTTCGTATTGAACTGTTGCAGGAGCTGCTGGCCTTTTCTTGATTCAATTTCTCAACCTGCCGCAACCTGGAGCATAACGTAGGCCTTGCAATCACACATTCGGTCCGGGCTTAGTTTAGGCCAAAACAATATCGACTCATTTTTATACACGATGAAGATCATTGCTTAAGGGAAGTTTTAGATGCGGCAATTCTCTATTGTAGGAAAGGACTGTGCTCTTCAATGTTGCTCTCCGCTAGTTTTCTTCCAGCAGAGCATGTCCCTTTTTCAAGGCAAGCTCAGAAATAGCTTGACAAGTTTGTCGTACTGGGGTGAACTATAATGAAGGTCAGTATGGTGATCAGGATAAAGTTCCGGAATACATACCCAAGTCCTGTGACTGGATCCCAGCCCTCCTTGACCTTGAAACCTCCGCTGCCACATCCTGGGTTCGCACCTTCTTTGATATCGGTAAAGACCTCGGGGTGTTCGTACTAAGAGATGACATAATTAGTACCATGGCTCGCTATGGTTAATTCCGCTCCCATGGAACTTGTTGCCTACCAGAACCTTGTGGACAAAGCCAACGGGTGTCTTATTCGCCGCCAGCCTCTCCTCGTTGACCATGGTCAGCACCGACCCCCAGATGGGCACGGCCACAGACGTTCCCTTGACCGAGGCACCACCGAGCTGATACACGACCAGCATGTTGTCGCCGACGGCCGAGACGTCGGGGTAGCCGCGGCCCGCCCTGTTGAAGAGCTCGTTGGGCGCCGGGAAGATGGAGTCGTCGCCCGTGCTCAGGTTGTAACCGGTGAAGCTGAGGTTCGCCGTGCTCAGGTAGCTGGTGATGTGCTTGGTCTGCCACTCGGGCGCGTCAAACACGTTGGAGAAGCCGCCGCCGGAGGCGAACGACGTCGTCCCAGTCTCGCGGTACTTGCCGGGCCTCGCCGTGTCGTTGACGAGCATGGTGGCGCCGACCGACAGCACGTACGGGCAGTTGGACATGGTGCGGGGCGCGAAGATGCGCGCGTCCTCGCCCAGGCAGCCGGCCTGGGGGTCGAGCCGGGAGCCGCCGACGCCGTGGTCGCCCGACGACTCGATAATGGTCGTGCCCTGCAGGCCGAGCTTCATGACCTCCATGCACTGCCGCTTGAGGTACGGCTGCGGGTAGAAGTTCTCGACGCCGCTGTACGAGATGGCGATGACGTTGGTCGGCTTGTAGACGCCGCACATGAGCTCGCCCTTGTAGCCGCCGTCGTTCTTGTTGGGGTACTCTGGGTCGCGGCAGTCCCAGGTCTTGCAGTTGCCGGTCTGGTTGAAGGCCTCGAAGGTGCAATAGCTGCCGTCGATGGCGTCGAAGAGGGCTTTCGTATGGAGCGTTAGTATGGACGGTTGTGAAATATTGCATATCATGTCCACGGGAGTCTGGGAGGGAGCTTACTGTTGAAAAAGCCGGGGTAGTCAGTGTCTCCACGCTGCTGGTTGACACCATACCAGTCGTCGTCGGTCTGGAAGAGGACTGCCTTCTGAGGGTGGATCAGGGGAATGATGACCTGCAGATCTAGGTCTGCCTCAACACCGGCGTCATCCACCTTGTCAGTCGGGCCAGTACCGCCGTTGATGGCTCGGAGCTCAGGATGCGTCCCCTTGGGGATATGCCTGGACGACGTATTAGTATCACAAGCGCCAAGCATATCACACGCCATAAAATGGCTTTCCGACTCACGGTGCAACATTTCGGTAAAACATGTCCAGGTCAGGTTGGTGATAATGCTGGTTCAGTGCCTGGAAACAGCCGAGTTCGTTGCCAGGCTGAGGGTTAGTGATGTTGGGCAATCCGTATTGGTCTGTCCCAAGCGTCAGCAAGATCTATCCGCTCGTTGCTCTCCGAACAGTGAATCATTACCCTGGACACACTTCGGCCTGACCAACGCATCGCAATTCGTCGGCAGGGCAGTTTGCTTCTGCTGGACAAGCACGGCGTCATACTCTAGGCCAGGAGACGACTGCTTCTGCTGAAACCTGCGCTTCGCTTTCATCCCTTTCTTGTACTCCATGCTGCGCTTCTGCTTCATCGCTAGCTCGTGGAAACCGTACGATCCGAGCTTGATCCCAGGCGTGACGTAGTCGACGTGCTCGCTCACGTTTTTGGGCAGGTGATAGTCGGCACAGGCGACCGTCTTGAGCCCGGACTCGAGGTGCTCGTACAGGTGATAGTCGGCAAAAAGTAGGCGCTCCGCCTCCTCGACCGACGCGACGAACTGCAGCCATTGCTTGTTGGTCGACTGGGTGATGCGCCTGGCGTCGACGCCCGCAGAGGTCAGCCAGTGCCTGACGGCGTCGACGCTCTCGGCCGCGGGGGCGAACAGGTCCGTGACCTGGTCGACCGTCAGGTGTCTGCCGTAGTTGGGCGAGTCCGGGCTCGCAATGTCCATGAGCATGTCGTGGCCCCGGTCGAGGTTGGACTGCTTGAGGCCGATGCGCATGGGCAGCTTCTGGTCCGGCCTGGGGCGCTCCGCGCGCTTCCACCCGGTCAGGTGGTGGCGCTGGTGCTTCTCATGGCGGGTGTAGGAACGGGGGACGAGACGTGTCGACTGAGTTGGTGCGTCTGGGAGATCCCTCACTGCGTGATCCAGAAGCGGGCTGCTGACAGCAACACCAGCTAGGCCGAGACATACGAGAGAAAGACGCATCGTGAGGCTATACTGTAGTACCATGGAAAGAGGCCTCAAGAGACCTTTGGTTACGAGCACTACATATTGAGGGACCAAAGCTCTTATAAACTTCTACAAACAAACGTTTGGGACCCTGCTACCCCAGTCTGCCACAACGAGCACCAGTATGGGGCCAAGAATGCTGTCGATCCCGGGCTATATGCCGTGTTTCGAAGATCAGATTGTGGGGGATAAGTAAGCGCGGCAAATGAAGAGTAGGGTTGCCCAATGTGGTAACTAACAAGTCTACAGCGATTCATCCGTGCTGGGAGGGCGAGCCAATCTGAGTGAAAGTCATGAAACAAAGTACCAGTCGATAGGGTGCCTTCGGCGATCCGTACTGGAGTTCCGTGTTTAATATCAGATCTTACACACCTATGATAGGTCGTGAGAGGAGATCTAATCTTCAATGCCGGGATGCGGCTAAAGGAGCCCTCGGGAGCTGCACAGTCGCAATCAATGGCATATAGCCAGAGCCAATGAGGATCGAAGCACACATCCCCATACCACAATGCGGTTCAGTAGTCCGGTCATAAATCCATTCTCATGGGGCCGAAGGCTCCTGCAGAGCAAACAGTCATCTATTTGCAGTGGGCAGCCTGCATCGCCCAGCCGGGCCAAGGCCGGCCGTTGCTCACAAGACCTGACTTCGACATTGAGATGCGGCAGATCAGATCGGACTTTTGCAACCAGTCGGGGGATTTTGCCGGTTGGAAGGTGCCGGCACAGCGGCCAGTGAAGTCACAAGCGGGCGGTGTCAAGCTCATGAAAGCTCTTGTGGCATGCTTGCATTCCTCTATCAGCATACATGAGACCATGTTCCCTTGTCATTGAAGGTAATACTACATGTGTGAAACAGCCTCAGTCCCATCTTTTCAGTCATCTACCTCATTCATTCCAGGAAACGCCGCGCCATTTTTCTAAGCCCACTGTATGAAGCATTCCAGTTTTGGAGTGACAGGTTGCTGTAGGACATGGCGAATAAAAGACAAAGGGCCATGATTCAGCACGGCACCTCCTTATGCCATCAATTCACAACCTCCACGGATCACACCCACAAGGGCACCTGTCTGGACAGCTTCGCCTCCGCCGCCGGCCACCCTGTGTTCAATGTTTGCCAGTCCATCCAGCCATGAGATCATGACTTCAGGCTTGACCTCGAGTTTGATAATCTCCTCTGACAAAGCAGTGATGATGTCTGCAAGTGCCAGACCCTGTGACACCTTGAGGGTGTTGATTGTAGAGAGACACGTCGTCACGTCGGTAGTGGTGAGTAGAGTGTTGAGGATTTCTCGGATCGCATCAGGTGGGGGTGCCGCAATGCAGCTGTAGATGGTCTGGGTGGTAATCGTCTCGCGAACAATATCCTTCTCGGGTATCTTGGGCGCGTGTTTTGGTTGCAACGGCGTGCCTGATTCACAACATGTCAGTATTCACCCACCGCAAGAGCAGAAAACGGCCACAATAGAGAACATACTTGATGCATGGCAGGCTTGTAGGACGTTTAAAGCCCGTCGCATATCTCCCTTGCTGAGTGTGACCAACGCATCTGTCGCCTCGGGGAGGATTTTGATAGCCTCTTCGTCAATGACCTTGTCCACCAAGACACGGATATCCCTCTCCTTGAGGGGGCTGAACCGGAATCGCGTGCATCTTGACAGCAGCGCAGGAGAGAGTTTGTGAGAGTAGTTGGCAATGATACAGAACCGGGTATTGGCTGTGTACTTCTCCATGATTCGTCGCAACGCCATCTGTGCAGTGTTGGTCATAGCATCCGCCTCGTCGAGAATGATGAGCTTGTAGCCGGCCAGAGCACCAGCGCCATTTCTCGACGTCGCACCCATTGAGAAAATCTGTTTGGTGGAAGCAAATGTCTTGATCTGCTCTCGCACCACATCGATACCACGGTCATCAGAAGCGTTCAGCTCCAGAACCATCTGCCGCATGTTGTCCGCACCGTAGATGCGCCTGGCCAGGGCGAGGATAGTCGAGGTCTTGCCGGTACCGGGAGGGCCGTAGAGGAGGAGATGTGGGAGGCGGTTTGTGTCGACAAACTTGTTGATCGTCGCGAGGATATCTTGGTGGCCAGAGACGTCGGAGAGTGTAGTCGGTCTGTACTTCTCAACCCTGGAAGATCAATTAGCATGATCTGCCGCGACCCGACGGCGATGCGACTCACCAAGGGAGAGAGTCCTCTGCCTCTACAGGCAGATTGGCAGCACTTCGTTTTCCCTTTGCTGCATTGTCAGACGAGAAGGTGATGTCCTTGGAGGGAGCAGGGACATCGACGTCCATCTCATCCTCAAAGTCGGACATCTCGATCGCGGGAGCCTGGCGTGGCGTCTCTGTTCGGGCAAGTGTTGATTCGATGATCTCGGTGGTGGAGAGGGTGACCACTGATTCCAGTGTTCCGAGAGTACCAAATGATTCTGAATGCCGCAGTCTTGATCCAGAGATGCGGCCTGATTCGGGAGTGATTTCAAGGTCCATCGAAAGCGGCACTAGGAAAACGCGTCGTCGCGTCAGAGCTGCCCCGCGCGCAATTCAGAGTGCGCCAGGGAGTTTAATTGACTTTTAGCGGGCTACCATCTGGTGCCAGCTGGCAGCATCTGCTGGGCGGAAGTCGTCTCGGCCCGCCACGATTCAGGCAGGTAACATCACATTGATGCAGTTGAGCACGTTAATCATCGATGCCGTGCGTCCGCATCCGCTGCCTGGTTCTCCCAGAAGGCCGCCCCCAGATTAGTTCGGTTCGGTCTGACGGATGTACGCCTGAAAGGCTGGAGAAAAAGCACGAATGCCTCAGCTGACCGCGCCTCAGAAGACAGTCCCATTGGCGAGCGGTCCGGGGCCGCCCCCAATTCTAGCTGACGTTGGGGTCTGGCGCAGCGGTCTTGAGTTACCCAAACTGGAAAAATATGCCTTTTTAAAGAGGGATGGAGGCAGTGGGCCAAAAGATGATGTCGATCTCGCTTCTAATTATAATTCCTGTGCCTCGCTCCTTGAGGAGATCTCCGTTCTTCGGCCATTGGGCGATGCGCATTTAAAGACAATTCAAAAGAAAACTCTGTTTTACTCAAGTCATGATTGTCAAGCTTGAGAGTAGTATCCGGTCATAATCTGCAATGATCGCGACGAAACAAGGCTCTGTACTTGTAATAGAACGTTGATCTGCACGGCAAAGCAGCGAGATCCGATCCGATCATATCTCCACCACACAAGAACAATCCTTGTAAGGCAGGAACAACATCTTCTCTTGTGGTGGCAGAGGTATTAAAACTGGCCACATCCCACCCAAAACGGGATTTCGGGAAGGCTTGCGAGCAGTCAACAGCCATATTCACCTAAATCGAGTTCCCGGTCATGTGGTCTCCTCTCTTGTCTAGCCTCAGCGTCTTGCTGATCGCTGGTCATGCCTTGGGTGCACCATCATGCCCTCGAGGTGACAAGCCTTCAGCAGACGACCGAAAGTACTTGATATCATTGTATGAAATCACTCGAAAGGCATTATTGACAAAGACTCGTTCTGACCTGGTAACAGTGGTGACTCGTACTCCAGCAATGCCTTCAACATCTCTGCCGCAAAGCCATCAAGGGTGAATCCCATCGGCAACCCCGATTTGCCGGGAAAGACGACCTCTGGCTGGCTGAACTGGCTCGGGCTGCTGACGTTGGGCTATAACAAGACGCTGGTCCTGAACTACGACTTCGCAAAGGGAGGCGCTACTGTGAACAACTCGATCGTCAAATCAAACAACCGGCCCGACTTTGCCGACCAGGTGGCCGAGTTCAAGGGCAGCATTGGATCCAAACCGGACTATGCAAAATGGACAAGTGACAATGCCCTGTTTGCGGTCTGGTTCGGCATCAACGACATTGGTCTTTCTTACGCCCAAGATGGCGAGGATGCGAGGTTAGACAAGGTGCATAACAGTTACTTCAAGAACCTGGACGCCCTGTACAAAGCTGGCGCAAGGAATTTCGTGATCCTCACCGTTCCACGTAAGTCAGGGGCAAACTGTTCTTGCATATCAACCCACCAACTGACCGTTTTGCACAGCTACCGATCGGACACCGTTGATGAAAGGCCGATCCAACGTAGACAAATTGATCGGCGCCAAGAAGTATTGGAACGGTAACCTGCCAAAACGTTTTGATGATTTCAAGAGCAAGCATGCAGGCGTCAAGATCACGTTCATTGACACTCACCCGCCCTTTAACAAGGCACTCGACCACCCCAAGGATTACGGTGCCCCTGATGCGAATTGCGAAGATCAAGGCGGCTTTAAGTGTCTCTGGTATAACAACTACCATCCTGGAGTCGCGATCCACAATCTCACAGCCGGAGTGGTGGCTGGGAAGATTGACAGCTTCTTCACCGCGACAGCACACGCTATCAACATCCCCAAGGCCTGAGCCAAACAAGGGAGGGTAGCAATATCACTAGAAATGAATGACTACTTGAGCACTATTTCTTAGAAGGACAGTCTGATGTCTTTTTACTGCAAAATTACTCCACCAAGGGTCCTCGCTTGTATGACTGGGCCTGGCTGTGCTTTCAGCCGTCGGGATACGGAAAGCCTACGTGCTCGCCTTGCCAGAAGATACTTCATAACACAAGATGCATAAACAAGATGCATACACAAGATGCATACACAAGATGCATACACAAGATGCATACACAAGATGCATACACAAGATGCATACAATGCTCAACCTCAGGCTCGACGGAAAAGTGTTGAAAGAACCTGGCCAGCCTAGAACAATCGAATGCTTCTAGAATTGCCAGTCACTAAGACCATCTGACCCAGTGACTTCAGTACAGACATTGCCATCGCTGTGAATATTCGGCTGCAATAGTCTATCACCGTAGCCAACAGCAAAAACGTTCTGGCACGTGGGAGGGCATAGGCAGCCCGATGAGGTGCGGACATCTCGACACCAGAGGCCAAAGAGGTGGCGGTGCTCTCGAGCTACTATCAGCCCCTAGCCAGCCAGGATTGCGCGTTATTCACCCGTTGTTTTAAGCTTACTCCGCCCAGAGTGGACCACGTGTGTTCAGTAAAGGAGCGCTTCCTAAAAGCTCTCTTCTTTGGCCGCTCCAATGATGTGGTTGCGATTTCAAAAGTCGGAGTTGAGGGAGTGAAAGGAAACTGGAGACCCTAGAGCCAAGACGGAAGCGCGGACTGCGCTAGAACGAGAAGCATTGGAGTCTTACAGGGGTCTCGACAGGGGTAGCTTCAGCAATTGGCCCGCTGGAGGAACAAGCCTTTTCCAAGAAATTGTGGCGCCTTTGCCAATACCACCGCTCCAATTCCCCCACGTGCGCTCCAACGATCTCCAATTCCACCAGGACAAAGCTCGACTCGAGACAAACGAGACGGAGCTGAACAGCCCCTGCCGACCAACGAGCTGCCCTGCGTTACCAACTGCACATCCCACAGGCCCTCTGGAGGTTCTCTTTCTTTCTTTGACGGCAAGCACGGCGGTGCTATTCTCTCGCGCTATACTTACTTTGGTCGAGGGTGGCAGGAACTATTGGTTTTCTTCTCCCGGAAATCATCACCTTGAGCAATGCCAAGACCTCGTGTTCGACTTGATTGACGTGCCAACCGGGCAGTGAGAGGCGCTCGGCGTCCTAAGACTGTCAAGCTTTTGAGATTCGATATGTTCTGCTTGGCGATATGCCCAGACTCAACGGTGATGTGGCTCCCGAGCCAGAGCATAGATCAGCTTGGCAATGGAGTGATGGCACGCGAGCATGACAGCGCCCAGCTTCTGGTCGAATGCCAAACACTTGGCGAGATCTCTTGTTCGCCGAGCCAGAAATCGCCAAGATCCAGTGGAAGAGACGGGCAAGCATGGGACGACCCGCACTGAGACCTGCGATGCGACCCTTGGGCCCGGATCCCTCCCCTGTGTGCGCGCGCCGGTGGCCGACTATCTCTTCGATGCCCCGCACATGAAAGCGGATGGCCATGTTTAATGAGAAAAAGCTTACTCTTGATTCTCGGGCGATCCAATCAGACCCTCCTTTCCGTCACATGGCAGGCCGTGACCTCCCATCTCCACCCATCTTGACATGGGATAGCCTGTCGACCTGCTTGTCCTGGATGCGCAAGCACTCGGCTCTGCATATGCCGCTGTACGTGATGCAGCGACATCCACGCGACTGCCCGGGACCTTTAAATATGCAGCTGTCGATCCCATCCCTGGGCAGCGTCACTCTCCCGCTCTGCAGTCTCTCCAGCTCCAGGGTCCTCCAGCTATTATTGCCTTAGCTGCTTCTCCATTGACCAACCTTCCACGATGCGTGCCGAGCTCATCTCCGTCCTGGCTGCTGCCAGCACCGTCGCCGCCCAGGCCGAGACCTGGTACACTGCGACCGCTACCGACTCCGTCGCTGCCGCTCGTGCTACGGCCAAGACGTCGAGCCCTACTAGCCACGTTAAGGGCAAGGCCTTTGATCGTCTTGCCATCGTCTGGCTGGAGAACACTGACTATGAGCTGGCCATCGGAGACCGTGAGTGATTCGAGCCATACACATACACAGCTTGCCGTTCCCCCCTGCTAACTTGAATCTCAGCGAACCTCGCCTGGCTCGCCAGCAAGGGCATCACCCTGAACAACCACTTTGCCGTCACCCATCCTTCCGAGCCCAACTACGTTGCGGCCATCGGCGGTGACTACTTCGGCATGAACAACGACGCCATGAACTTCATCGACCGCAACGTCTCCACCGTCATCGACCTGCTCGAGGCCAAGGGCATCAGCTGGGGCGAGTACCAGGAGGACATGCCCTACTCGGGCTTCGAGGGCTTCGGCTACGTCAACCAGCAGAACGGCCGCAACGACTACGTCCGCAAGCACAACCCGGCCATCATCTACAACAGCGTCGCCTCGAGCGCCGACCGCATCTCCCAGATCAAGAACCTGACCATGTTCTACAAGGACCTCGAGAACAACAGCCTGCCCCAGTGGATGTTCATCACGCCCAACATGACCTCGGACGCCCACGACTCGGACATCACCACCGCCGGCACCTGGACCCGCAACTTCCTCCAGCCCCTGCTCAACGACTCGCGCTTCATGAGCAACACCCTCGTCCTCGTCACCTTTGACGAGAACTCCAACTACGCCCGCCAGAACCGCATCCTCGGCATCCTCCTCGGCGACGCCGTGCCCCAGGAGCTCGTCGGCACCACCGACAACAACTTCTACAACCACTACTCCGAGATCGCCTCGGTCGAGGCCAACTGGGGCCTGCACCACCTCGGCCGCTGGGACGTCGGCGCCAACGTCTGGAAGTTCGTCGCCGACAAGACGGGCGACGTCGTGCGCCAGTGGTCCTCGGCCGGCGCGCCGCTGTCGCAGTACTTCTGGAACCAGTCGTACGACGGCGTCTTCCACAACAAGCCCAAGAACCCGGTCTACCCCAAGCCCAACCTGTGCCTCAAGCACGGCGGCCGCTCCATCTCGCCCGTCGTCGGCAAGCAGTGGAAGGGCAGCAAGAACCCGCAGTACTACCAGGACGTCATTGAGCTTCCCGACGGGCTGCACCCGCCTACGGGCTATGCTTACTAGATTGGTGTGGTCTGCTCTCAGCAAACAGTTCCCAAGGAGGGAGTCGACGTTTTTTTTGAGCGTCGAAAATGTGTATAATGGTGCTGGGCAAGGGGACCCTTTCGGGCCATGAGAACGGGCTACGGGAAGGATAGCATCTAGATGGTTCTCATGATGTAAATAGAGCTTGTTTGGTTCGCTGCATACTATTATCTGCATTTCCTCTCGCGCGCGTGATTTGAGCTAGTAAATTTGGAGAGAGACTTGAAAAGGACGCCAATTCCCGCACTCGTGTTTCACTCCTCGGCCTTGTTGTCAATCTAGATAGAGGATAATGTGTAGCTCCGACGTATGGGAATTGAAAAGACACAGCAGACACAAGAACCATGCTTGCTTAGGAGTGCACCGCCGAGATCCTCCTGCCTTCGCACAGTGGCATTTATCGTTTACCGCACAGGAGTCAGATATACATTGAGCGCGGGCTTATTCCAAAGGAGGTAGGCCTTTTGGTCTAGCCAGTTGAAGTTTGGATCGGCCAGCCTCATGTCGAAGTTGTACAGGATCTTGGCCAGAATGAGCCGCATCTCAGCGTAGGCCAGACTAGGGAACAGGTTAGTAACTCGTTCCTCGATGGGTATTGAAAGGCAGGGGTGATGGCCCGAAACGTACTTGCGGCCGATGCAGTTCCTCGGACCCACGGAGAATGGCTGCAGCGTGTCGTGGCGGTCAGCCGGATTCTTGGACCCCTCCAGGAAGCGCTCGGGCTTGTACTCGAAGGGCTCGGTCCAGTTCGCGGTGGAGTGGTACTGCGCATATTGCCAGCACGCGACATAGGTCTAGAACGGGTTGTTAGTCTGGCTCGCGGCGAGAACAGGGGCCCAACAGTAAATAATTCCCAGAAACTGACCTTCTCTGGTACCTCGTGTCCGGCAATGGTGGTTCCGCCCCGGCCGACCACGCGCGGCAGGCCTATGGGCACGGGTGGGTAGCACCGCATGGCCTCGTTGAGGCACGCCAGCATGTAGGTCAGCTTGCCCACCGAAGTCAGCGTGATGTCCTCCTCCGCTGCGAACGCGGTCCGGACTTCCGCGGTGACCTTCTTCAGCGCTTCGGGGTGCGAGAGGAGGAGGTACGTGACGCCCGTTAGTAGAGTGGCCGTTGTCTCGGAGCCGGCTACGATGAGCGTGTTGGCGTTGGATTGGAGACGGTCGAGGCTGAGGTTCTAGTATTGGAGCAGCCGTCAGTACGGATATCTGGCACATGTAGCTGGTGCAGGTATTGCTCCCTTACCCATTCATCCTTCTTCTTGAGCAGACCCTCGATGAAGTCAGGCCTTTCGACATCCAAGGCCATGCGACGCTCGAGCTTTTCTTTCACCCTGTGGAGGTGTTCCCTGCGGGACCTTTGAACGAACCAAAGGAAAGGAGCGAGCACCGTTTCGAGGCCCAGGTACCTGAACCCGGCCAATACAACGAGTGTTCTCATGGTCTCGGTGATGAGCTCGACCCACGAGTCATAGCGAGCGTTCTCGAGCATCCCAAAGGGCTCGCCAAACGCAAGATCGCCAATGATATCAAACGTCGTGAAATTGTACCACTGTCGCAAGTCGATGGCCTTGGGTCGGCCTTGCTTCTCGGCATCTCCTGCCAGAGGCTCGTCGCTGTATGCGTCCGATTCGACACACCTCTCCCGCATTCGCTGGATCAGAAGATCGACATACCCGCCGATGATGGGTTCCTGCTCCCGCATACTGCGCTCGCTGAAGCCGTGCGACATGAGCCGCCGGAGCACAGTGTGATTTTCACGGTTCTCGGTGGTGATGGCCGGGGCCTGGCCCTTGGGGAGATAGAAGACCAGCGCTTTGGACAGCTCCTCGGTGCCCGCCTTGCTCCCGGTCCGGTGGCCGTAGATGTCGGACCAGCCCTGGGCATCGAGGAACGCGAGCTCGTCCGGAGCGACACGCACGACGGGCCCGTACTTGTTATGGAACTCCAGGACGTCGAAGGACATGGTGCCGCGCAGCAGGCGCCATACCCAGGCCAGGCGTGTTACTCGGTGGAGGAAAGGGCCCGGGTAGTTACGAAGCGGATGGAAGTAGAGGTTGTAGACGCAGCGAGATACCGCGTACAGGACGAGCTATGTGCCAAGACACTTGTTATCAGATTGGGGGAATGATGGAAGGCGGGATAAGCAATCCCAACGCTGTCGTTGGCTGGACTCACCAGGCCGGTAAGGATGCCGACAACCCCTGTCGGACTGCTGACATGCATATAAGCCGCCATGACTGCCGATGGATTTCAACGTAAGACTTTGTATAAGACGTCGCTGCGTGATAATCAAGCACACGACATAGGTGGGATGGGAATTTATTGATAGAACAGCAGACACTGGAGTAAGGCATACAACTAGGCTGGAGTCCTCCTCGACATTATATACGACTTTTCAGGGGTCATGGCGGTCGGGCATTGTCTCCTCCCGTATCACTGCACAAACACCATCGGTATTCTCAAACCACCGACTACCCCCCCTGCTGATCATAAACGTAGTGTCCTATGGGGCCTGGGATCACGAGCATTGGGGCTAGTGTGTGGCTTGAATGAGTGCTGATCAGCTCAGTTGGTACTTGTATACGTCGAAATAGACTCCCGATCAAGCCGTTGGCCTTAACTCAGGATGGATTGGTCTTGATACACTAGGAAATTTATTCCGCACCTCGGCCCGCGAGCTTTGCCTCGAAACGGAGACAGCATCTGTCAGTCCTCATATTTCAAGTCTTGGCACGCCAGAATGAGATCTCCAAGGAACTGTAAGTCTATTCAAAGCAATTGGAGAAGTGGTGAATGTCTGTCCAACAAGCCTCTACCTCTCTATCATATCTAGCATCAAATGCAGGCCGGCATTCGGCGCCCGTCCAACAGAAGCTCCGATAACTAGCCTGTCGATCTGGGCTGTGTTTCCATCACGCATGATCTGGAAATAACAGGCATTTGTTTGCACAAAGCGGCATCGTGCAGCGGAGATAACTGCGGCCGGCTAGGTATGCACAACATGTCCTCTCCACTTGCAAGGGTAGAGGTTGCGATTGGCTCCATGAGGCAGTCACTTGCGCGAGACGCGATCGAACGAGGCAAGACTTCGGCAGTTCCACGTCGTATTGCAACGTTAATTTAGGGATTTATGGTTCGCGGTCGCATTCCGCCCCGACGTCCGCGAATATAGACGTGGAGTTCCGCGGGACTCCAACCCAGTCCTGGACAAACCACGGAACGAAATCGCGGTAACATGGGCATTAGCTCCGGCCGCACGGGGCTGGCGAGGAGAAGAAAGAAGCCACGAGCCATTTTCCGCCAAATGAAATGTGGACGAGGCGGTCTGGGCAGATGCATCCACTCCACTTCTCTGGCTCATGAACGTGTCGCGTGGCCATCCTCGAGAGGACCCAGTCTGGTTTTCGGTGGTGCACTTCCAGCTCCGCTACAAGACTGCCTTGAATCGGGAGGTAGTATTCATAGCTTGCTAGTTGGGTATCTCTCATGTTTACGAGGAAATGGATGCCGCTTCTCTATGAAGAAGTATAAGCTGGATGGTGACTAGGCAGAGTATACACATGACTTCATTCTTTACCCTGCGGTCCAGTCCCCTTGCTGGGAAGAAAGATGATAAGCTCATACTACTATCTCAGGTAGTTCAAGCCTGCTAGATGGCTCCTTGAACCTAGAGCATCGGCTGAAAAGTGCACAATGACAATACAAGACCATGGTCGTGGATTGTTTGCATTTCCAAACTCCGCTGAAGGAGGCCGGAAGCAAATTCAACCCCAATAATATGTCTACGCATAAACAACTATGATAGAGGCCGGAGAACAGGTCCTGCCGCATACATGTTTGTTAGATGCGCTTGTTTACCCATTAAGGAGCGCCAAGCCTACGCTCTGCAAAGCCGGACACCCGTGGCTGTAAACACCGGAGCGATCGCGAGCACTTTATGAGCACTTAGCACCAATTGAAACATCTAGATCTTCATCAACCGCGATCTGCACGGAATTGGAGACGAATAGACGGTCGATGTATCAAAACAAAGTCAAAACAACAAGACTTGGCGCTTGACTATCAACACCGAGCGTGTCCGCCATCAGGATCAGGTCTCGGACAGTAGTCATGCCTATAACTCGACAACCATTCCCGGTTAATCTCAAACTAGATCTCTTTTCCTTTTCTCTCAAGGTCTGCCGTGTTGACCTCTGCCCGCCCATCCTTTGCCCCTCTTTGTGATAGACGTCTCCCTTCAACATCATCGGTCCGTGGTCTTTCCTTGTAAGACAAAAGCATTCACCATGCTTCCCAAGGCTCTTCTTCTCCTGTCAGCTGTGGGCAGCTCGCTCGCTGCAGTCGCGATTGCACCTAGAAGGGCAGCTCATCCTGAGGACGACCTGGAACTGGAAGTGGTGGCCGGCCCTGGCGAACAGCCACCATTCATTGGAGGGCCAGGACGTGGACCACCAGGACGCGGACTGGGACGCGGGCCGTTTGGCAGGCCTCCCTTCTGGAGAAATGGGGGCTTCAGGCCGCAAATCGTCACGGTCACTCAGATTGAGCGGCTATACGAGACAGGCTGGTCCACGCTCACCGTTACCGATGATCCTACCGACTACTTGACAGTTACAGCAGACCCAACGGTATATTCGACCGTCACGGCTGACCAAACAGTCACTTCTACGGTCACGGTGGACGTGGACCCAACAATCTACGAAACTGTCCCGGTGGACGTGGACCCAACAATCTACGAAACTGTCACGGCTTACCCAACAGTCTTTTCAACTATTTTCCAGGATCAGATCGTTGTCTCGACCATGGTCTCGGTCCAGACTGTTGTCTCGTTCGCCACCCTTAACGCGACGTTCACATCCACGGTCACAGCCTCTGGCGGCGCATCCGGTGCTCCTCTGTTTGGGCCTGCCATATCCCTCATCACGCTCACGCTGCCCGGAACGACGGTCACGTCTGCGGGGTACACGACCACGATCACGACCACGGCGGGCCCAAGCCCGTCGACTTCTACTATGACTATCACGTCTACGGTCACTGGAAACGGGACGGCCACTGCTGGCACCACGCTCATGCCGGCGCCTGTTCCGACCTAAGAGCATTTTGCTGTCAGATCAGCTCGGCACATTGCGGGTGAGCACGTGTCGAGACATGTATTTTTATTCTCGCCTTACTGACTGATCGCTCTGCAGATGCGGCGTGATTTCCTTTGTCTCTTCGAGAGTGCTTGTCACGTTCTTCAAGTCGCCGTTCTTGAACTGAGTGACCAGTCAAACTGCGCGGGCTTGGGTGCTCAGAAAACAACACACTGCTTACATTTCCTTGAGTAATTTCAAATTCTTGACTTTTGCTTTGTTCCGTTATTGGCAATCTCCTACCCCCTTGCCATTGTTGGTACGTGGTCCTGTCACACATCGGCCATACACCGCTAGCGATGTGTCGTCACTGCTTTGTTCAATCCGAGCTGTGGAGGAGAGGAGGAGAGGGGCATGCGAGCAACTTGGATAATTATGGCCTTTGGAAGTACTCGTGAATATGTGTATTTGTTCTATGGGATACATACACAATCCATTTCAACTGTCACCTGATCCAGACGCAGTAGTGTAGATCATACAACATCTCTCGCGGACTGCACTAGGTAACAAACGATAGAAGCCATGGCGGACTATTTCCGTGATTTCCATGTCCAAAGAATCATCCATTCCCCACTTCGTTGCTTAAACCTGAAATAGATGGTGGTATTTAAAAGGATTCGTGCCGACAGAGACATCCAAGGGGGATCAATGCCGCAGTAAGCCCTAGGACTGAACAACTAAACGATCCATCAACCTCCCAGTCGTTTCTCTGTCTCCGGGGGATGATTGGCTACTGATGATTTAAGCTTGTACTTTGTCCGGAACATATTGCGTCCACTCACTGAGTAGAAATGATTCCTGGTTGAAGGATTCCATAAAGGAGCAAAGGTCTGGAATACCAACTGATTGAAGATGATGACGAATACTGAGAACGAGGAGGGAAAGCACCTAACAAAACCAACCTAAATAATTATCAATTCTTATATAGAAGCGTCAACTCGCCTAGTCAAACAACAGGCTCAACTAGCTGATCAACCTAAGACTCTGCTCAAGCACTCTAGCACTCAACAACACTGTCTCCTTTTGATCAGAATGAAGCTTGATTGATTTTCCCTAACTCTACAAGAACGTCCTCCCCTCTCTCTATTTATCTAGGTGCTAGGACGCCCCTAGCTTGTGTAGGTCGTCCTGCCAACTAGTGGTGAGGTCGATCAAGCGTTTGAGGAGTCTCTAAGCCCGGACACAATACATAGACGGTGTGCAATTGTGGGGGAAGCCACAGTTCTTGAGAGATAAATCAACGATGTTTGCTAATTCTCTTCATGTTGATATCTCTTCTATTCTTCACACTGTCAAGTATGAACAATACGCAGGTGGCTTTAGACGCGGCCTCTCGTAGGCTGATTCTATCAACTATCGCAGTTCTGGTGACCAGCCTCATTGCGTAATTCATAAGGAAAGGATATCAGCAGCGCCGCTTCTATCACAGTCTGGTAACGTGGAACCTATAAATTTGAGACTAGAAGAACAGGAAAACTGACGGAACTCGCGGGTAGCCCCGGCCCCCGTCACAGCTGGCTATGGGGTCACCTCGCCATTATATCAGAAATTGAGGCATCGTTGCCGCCAAACTGTCATACTATGGCCCACTACACCGAGATCTCCCAGAGATACAACCTCGAGGGCATTTTCTATCTTGATCTCTGGCCCGTCATAACAGGCTCAGTCGTCTTGTCCAACCCTAAAGCTCACGGAGCAGGTCACATTGACCAAACCGTTGACGGTTCATAGCTTGTCCGGCAAGATGTTTTGCGCCCGTCGTCGGTGAGGGCGTGATCGTCATGGCCAACGGGACGATATGGAAGAAGCTGCATAGCGCCATGTATCCCGCGTTTGCGATGACACTTGTCCGGCGTCTCACTGGGCCGGTCATTCAGAATGACTCCCGATAAACATGCCGCTAGTGGCGAGGTCTTCTCCCTAGAAGACGCCGGCTTGATCCTCCACTGGTCAAGCAGATATGGGAGCGATCCACCCTGCTGCTGAACAAGCACATTGTTCCCTTTTGCGAGGCAGAATTTATTGGTCAAAGGGATGGCCCTATCCCAATCGCACTCAATCAAAGTACAGATTTCAACAACCGACGTTGTTCCGATCATAAGAGCAGGTTGATATGGAGCGTTTCATTGACATGCCTAGTCAACAGGAAATTTGTTTCGTGGCGCAGATCCATCCTTAGTGAGATGTGCAGAAGCAGTTATAGACATTAGAAGAAAACGATGAACAAGCAGCAAATACTCATTGATACCTCGACTACCCACCAGGAGGACGACAACGAGGAAGGCACTGCACAAATGATGGATCAGATGAGGAACAGGCTTGAAGCGCTGAGAAGTTAGTAGTGTCTAGTTAATAGTATCGTTTTGTCAAGTTGCAATTCAGTCAATATCCAGGTTTCAAAATATAGGAATCCACAGTATCCACGGCGATGACCCTACTCATCCAACTTAGGATATTAGGAGACATCGAGTTCCCTGTCCTCTTTATCACTTGCGGTCATGATAGAAAAGAGAAAAGTCCCACTGCATTCTTTTAATAGTCGAGCCATCCGGTCGACAGAGTCCTCAGCGAGTCCACTTCCTTCAAAGCCTCAACTCGTTTCTTGTCCCACAAAGCAAACCCGGCATTTCGCCACAAACCTAAAGAAGCATATCTTGCGAGGCGCAGCTCCTCATCTGCATCTGACTCTGGCATCCAGGGGGTCATATCGAGCAGGGCATCTCCAAACCAGTTCACATATCGTCGGTTGAGCGCATCCGTCCAACCAAACGGAACCAGGTCCACCGCATCCCCAATGAAGCCAAACCTAGCTTCGTTACTATCTGCTTGTTGGCCCCGACGGTCTCTCATCGGGTCAGGAAAGGTTTCCAGCCGATAACTCTGCCAGGAAAAGTGCATGCAGAGCAGGGAGTAACGGTCTGCAAATCGGTGATATGTTGCATTATGGGGTTCATAGTTAGTCAGCCGCGGAGGTGATTGTACTGTTCGGAGAGCCGCTTTTGCGATATTGGGATGCTTTTGCATATACTGCACCAAGTAGTCGATTTGTGAAAAGATTTCGCCAAACTCTGCCTCGCTCATAGGCTGCGCCGCCTCCTGCCTGCTAAAGTAGAGGGCTCTGCACATCCTTGTGACGAAGAAGTCAATGTGATCAACCTGCTGTAGCTCCCAGGGTTCAAAGGCGGCGAACAGACCCAGGCGCACCTGCCGATGGCTGCTAGTGTTGCCAATGGCGGCCGTATCTCGTTCGTTCCATTCGGGCTCGCGCCGGGTCGGTGCCCACGCGTTGCAGATGATCTGGCGTCGATAAAGGGCTCGCAGAACTCGCAGTCTTTCTGTGCGCGACACTGGGGCGGTTGCAGCTCCCTCTGTACCCAGCGACATGAGGTGTGTATCGATGTAAGCTTCGGCCAAAAAGTTCATTCCCCGGAGAGTACGGCATGCCTGCGTCACCTCCGCCAAACTGAGGAATGCTCGATTTCCCTGTTCGCTGAGTGCGTTATTGCCTAGCATCCTCATATAGAGCGAGGACATAGTGTGGATTGTGTCACAATAAGCTAACAAGCTTTTGGTGGTTTTGCCGGGATTCGCTCGAGGAAACATAGAGAGAAACTTGGCGTCTACCAGAACAGGTCCCAGCTCATTTTCAAGAACACGTAAGATGATCAATGCTTCTCGACCCACAAAGCAACGATGTAGAAAGCGCGAGGAAATGACCAAGTTGGCGAGGGTAGATACTGAATCCAGAGAGGAAAAGACCTTGTCGACAAGTTCGGGTGCCAAGGTCGTGAAATAGCAATCAGACATCGCGGAATGTATTCATGGGACGATTGTGGCCCACTATCTCGTATCTAGATGTTGGGTTTTTGTCGATTCAAACGAAGCTGGCGTGTCCGGGCGCGTTTGCATTTGGGCCGCGAAAGATTCAAGATCTGGTCTGTGGAGAAGGGGTAACGTTGTCAGAGCATGGATTACAATACTGATTAATACAACTTGACGTAAATCAGAGTGGGACCGGCCGGAACGGACTTTTAATTTGACGTTCAGGCATCGAATCAACTTCGTGTTTGAACTATTTGACCATGAAGTATCGACCCCAGGCATTGATTCAAGAATATTTATATATTAATCTTAAGGAGATATAAGATTGAGTTTCTCCTCTCCAATATTAATGTTACGTGTAGATCTGGCTCCAATGTGGAGAGCTGAGCTAATCTGGCGGTCGCGCACTTAAAGCGCGAATCTCTGTGGTAGCTCTGTGGAAAAAACTTCCACAAGACAAGCTCGGGTGAGCCTTAGGTGCGGCTTAGGTGCGGCTCAGCCAGGATTGGATCGGTCTGAAGACCGAAAGGGAATTTGGAAGGGTTCATTTCCGACGCCGACTTTAGTGGGAGACACATTGGACAACTCCGAGCCAGCCACTCGTCGGAGATGTCCTACTCTGGTAGGATATATGAAAGGAGGAGATTGCAGGTCTCCTATCGCTCGCTCGTGGTAAACTGTGCACCCAAAGACTTGTCTTTTCTGACAAAATCATCATCGAATCAACCAACAACTTTCGACCCGCCTGGTAGACATGGCTACTGCTCCTTTCCCTTCCCTCACCAAAGTATGGCACGATAGACCATATCCAGCCATCTCGCCATCACGCCCGGAGCTCTCGGGCCAGGGCAAGACTGTGGTCATCACCGGCGGTGGTACCACCATCGGCGCTGGCATTGCGAAAGCTTTTGCGGCGGCCGGAAGTACCAAGATCGCCATCATGAGTCGCACCGAGAGGAACCTAATCACGACCAAGCAGGCCATCGAAGCCGAGTTTCCCAAGACAGAGGTCCTGGTTGTAGTTGCAGACATCACGAACATGGCGCAGGTCAACGAAGGCTTTGACAAGATCGACCGGGCTTTCGGCAAGGTCCACGTGTTCGTCAGCAATGCCGCATTCCTCCCGACACCCAGGCCCATTCTTAGCCCCGATCTCGACTTGCAAGACTGGTGGAATGCGTTCAACACCAACGTCCTTGGGGTGCTACACGCTGTGAAGGGATTTGTCAAGCATGCAGCTGAAGACGCGTGTGTGCTCCACATCTCTACCTGCATCTCTCACATCCCGCCACTGGAGATTGGACCGTCTGCCTACGCAGCCAGCAAGGCGGCTGCGAACAAGATGTTTGACTACATGGCCATGGAGAACCCCGGAATCCATGTGGTGAACATCCACCCTGGTCTTGTCGACAGCGCCATGAGTCGCAAAAGCGGCCACGGAGGCCTAGATGACGGTTAGTGTTTCCCCAGCTTTTTTTCCAGATGATACGTGAAGACAGGACCCGATTGCCGGTATTAGGTCTCATAAGATGCAGCCACTGATATGTAGCTTTGTAGTCAATTTGCCTGGCCACTTCTGCGTGTGGCTAGCTAGTCCGGAAGCCGGCTTTCTGAGGGGCAAGTACGTCTGGGTGAACTGGGATGTGGATGAGTTGAAAGCCAGGAAGGAGGAGATTCTGAGCACGGAGCTGCTCAATACCACGCTTAGCGGAGTATCTTTCGTTGGCTGGGGCGGGATAGATGTCTAAGGCGATGGTAGTCAATCTGATCCTCACCACAGCCGCATTTAGAGCCTATAATAAGTGCCTTCAGTCGTCTTTAGATAGGATTGTCTAAATTGCGAATACAATCGATCCCCGTGGTCAGTGTTCTCAACTTCCCTGTGACTAAGAAGAAGTATTGTCATGTAAAAAATTCAATCTCGTCTCATATTGGACAAGCTCGACAGCCATGTTTTTGGAAACTGGTATGCACAATTCCCACGGCAGGCAAGCAAGCACGGCCGATTAACGATTTACGGGGTCGTCAGTCTCCGTCAAACCTGATCTAGGATTGTTTGGGCGCTTTCGTGAGCTAGGAAGTCCGAGCAAGGTTTTGGTGCATTATTAATCAAGACCGGAATGTCGCAGACTTTTTAACCTAACTGGGACATGTCCAACGGAAATCCGTGGGCACCAAGCGGGGCACACGCCTTTTCGAGCCCAGAGGCGACGAGCAACATTTCCACCACGACCAAGCTACAAGCATTGATCCTGTCCAGTATGGAGGAGGCGGATTCCGAACCCATAGGGTTGAACTGCCCCTTTTGCCAGAAGTCATACACTCATCAGAGCAACCGTAGGGGACTACCAGCAGAAGATTCGTCTGACACTCGCTGACTTTGGATTTCTCAGGGAGAGCCAGGAGCAAACACATCTCGTATTGTCGAAAGAAACATCTATCGAGCCCAATGTCTCGAAGGAAAGCATGTGATGCATGCGTGCGGGCCAAGGTTCGCTGCGTATTTGACTTTACGGCCTGCTCTCGATGTACCTCCAGGGGTAGGCCCTGCACTTACCAAGGTCGTCTCGCCGGCAATGCGGACTGTGGCAATGCAACTCCTGCAACCTCTGGGAGTACGCTTCCGCAGAGCTTATCGTCAGGAACTGGGAGTTCGCCTACAGACGGCAGCTCGACCCTATGCCTAGACGAAGTCGGCCTCGGTACAGCGAACCCTTTTCCCGACATGTTATCGGAAAACATCCAGCTGTCGCAACCAGTAAATGGCTGGGACGGTGAAGCTTCACCGACCGGCTTCATAGATATGTTTGACCTCTTGACGAACCCAGACATGGGCATCGATATAGATATCGGTAACGTGCCCGACAAAATTCTGGCGACTTCCGATCATACGACAGCCTCTGGGCACTTACAACAGCCCTCGTTCTCGCTTCCAGCATCGTTGTCGTATAAGGATCCTTCTTCGTTGCTCCAACGTCGCGAGTTCTCCCAGGTTGATCTTCAGCTTACCAGTGATCTTGCTCTACATATCCTGAGCTCCTACCTCTACACAATGGCAGATCAGGGCTCTCCACCACCCTTTATCCACCCAAGCTATCAGTATTTAAAGGAAATCGATACAGATCGCCCAAGTCCCCTCTCTGCAGCGATGAATTTGGCCAAGATGCTATTCATTGGTCACGGAACAAATAAGACCCTCATATGGAAGCTGATACAGACAGAACAAGAACGACTGCTATACGATGTACGTGCAATGACTCTCAAATCTTGATAGCCAGTAGCTAATGTTTTCTACTCAACAGTATTCAAAATTCAACAGGTGGCAGGCTCTCGAGGCACTGCAATCCATCATTCTCTACATATTGCTGAGGATCAACGAGGGACGGCGTGACTATACCAACTTCGATACCAAGCTCTTCATTTCTCTGAATGTGAGTGGTCTCCGCGAACCTCCACTTCAATGTCTTCTCAAACACATGTGCTCACTGGGCAAGGTATATCAAAGGCAATCTGTCGCCACATCTCGACCAACTTTGGCAAGCTCGTCAGCTCTGATGAGCTCAATGGTGAAATGATTCCATGGAAGGACTGGGTCTTTTACGAGTCGCGCCGCCGGTACGTATCACATTTTGCCACCACCTCGGCTCTTTTTATTGATCTGACTTGTAGATCTGCGACTGTCATCTACATCATTGACAGCATTCTCTACGCTCGAATATCGGAGCCCGGCCCAGGCATGCCGGAGTACAACCACGCCCCCGCGCCGTCTCCCTTGACACTGTGGAATGCTGAGAACGAGTCGGATTGGACCGCTGGCTACGCGAACTATCTGCATGCGAACACCGCGGATGGCATGCTCAAGAACGCAGATCTCGTCGCGCTGAGGGAGGCTGCCACTGGAAACCAGAATGAAAGATGGTACGCGTATGCCGACTCTTTTGGGCTTTTGGTGACTCTTACGGCCAACTTGATTATTTAAGACTGCGTGTCCTGTAGAACTGGGCCATGCGGTTGGGCCACAACCTACCAGACTTTTATGGTATGGGTACCTTGAGCACATACTTCCCAAGCTGTACATGCTCGGAAGACCCCGTAGATGCGCGAGATGACTCAAAAGCGAGAACATATCTGTCTAGCCATGCATGGTGAATGGCCCTTGGAGGGAATTTGAGCCCTTTTTCTCTTCGTCTCTATAAATTCGATCACATGTCCCTAATTCTTTTCTTTCATTAACTACAACTGAAGTTTCCTTTCATCACGGACATTCCTCTTTTCACTCGCTTCAATACCGGAAAACGTATACCAAGACCGTACCTCGACTACCGCAAAAATGCAAATTAGATTCTGGAACTCTGCAAGAAAGACACATTCAAGCAGTCAGCCAGAGTCTAGGGATGGCGCTACTCGGGCTCGTCCTCTTGTCATTCACAGATCAATACAAACAGAGCCCCAGGTCACTCACGACACGATGCGAATGGAGCCGGCTGATATCGACATGATGACCACAGCGAGCATGGTCGGGCTGTCTCCACCCCGTTACGACACAGAAGCGCAGGGAAATTCAGAGTGCTCTCCGCCAGCGTATGCATGTCCCAATTTCCCCCTATCAGGCAGCCTGGGCCTTGACTGGGCGGTGTTGATTGAAGAAGCCCAGAGGAGGGATATTGAGCCGACATATTACGAGTTGGCACTGGCATACAACGGCGGGGAGAACGCATGGGAGGTAGCGGCCGAGATTAACAAGAGCATCATCCAAATGTCGAAGGCTGCCGCCCGCAGTTGCCGCGTTTCATGGGAGCCGGGCAAGGCCCCTTGCGACCCCTGTGACCAACACCTTGTCGGCGTTACGTACAAGGCTACCGAAGCTGTTCGGCAGCTGAGCAATGCAGCCACTGCCGATCTCGCAAATGTGCTTTTCGTCGCTGTGAATGAAGCGGCCGTCACTGCTGCCTCTGAATGGAGAATACGGGCAGGAGAGACGGGGTGCACGCACGCTGAAACTTGCTCACAAGATTGTGCAAAGGGTCCTCTCACCTGGTGTCAGATGGCGGCGCCAGCTGATGAGTAGACAGTCTCAATCGTCCACAAGTAGGGAGGACGGGCGAAGGTTGACACCATGAGGATCAAGAACCATAAGGATCAAGAGCGAGGAGCGCAATGACGACAGTGACAAGAGCCCCGATTAGTGCGACTTCCCGAGTTACTCTATGTACATGATTAATCTTTCGAGAAACACGTACGACCTGAGCGCCACCACGAAGAATGACCACAGCACGGATAGTGCGACTTCCTGAGATGTGCAGATGGTGAGCCTTTCGAGAAATAGGCAAGGTCTGTGCTGCTCCTGCAATCAGCTAGAGCACCTACCGGATGGCCAAGATCTGGTCGTTCGCTGTGATATCATGAGACCCGGTAGCACAAGGAAAGGATGGCTGGGTGAGTCAAGGTTTTCTGTGACGCTTGCTGCGTTGAGGACGCGAATTTATCGATATCACCATCGAGTTCATTACAGCCTGCTACAAGCTGGAGCAAGCATAACTGCCCTCACTTTACCATGGCTGACACCAACAAGGGTATTCGTATTCTTTAACATCACACAGCACATAACACACAGAGATGGAATAGGGATGTCGGCATGGTGGGAAGAGACACTCGCGCCCGAGGCACAGCTTCTAATATCTCATTAAAAATTAAAAATTAAAAATTAAAACACCTTCTTTTAACAACAACAACAACAAAAAAAAAAAAAAAAAAAAAAAAAAAAAAAAAAAAGGGAAAAAAAAAAAAAAAAAAAAAAAAAAAAAAAAAAAAAAGAAAAAAAGAAAAGAAAAAAAAAGAAAAAAAAAAAAGAAAAACAGCCAGCTTGACAACACGAAAAAGAAATCACCCCCGCCAAACTGGTTTCTTCTCCTGCCCCTTAGGGCCGGCACGTGCGGTGATATGGGCGGCGGCCTGGGCGGTGGGGTCGGGGGCAGGGCCGGCGGCACGGCCGGGCGGCACGACGGGCAGGCGGCGGCGGCGGGGCAGCTGGTGGGATGGTGGCGGCAGGGCGGGCGGACCGGTGGCAGGGCCGCGGCCAGGCGCGACAGGCGGGGCGGCACGGAGGGCGGCACGGGCGGCGGCACAGGCTCCGGGGTCGGCGGCAGGGCCGGGGGCAGGCTCGGCAGGCTCGGCAGCACGGGCGGTGGCACGGGCGACGGCCTCGTCGACGGCGGCGTCGACGGGGTCGGCGGCAGCGGCAAGAGAGGCGGCAGCGGCAGGAAGCATGGACTCTGCCCTCCGCAACCTGGCGGAGGGGCAAGTACATGTTGGGAGATCAGATCCTCTCTCCAGTCTGGCTTCGGCAGTAGAAATCTCTACGAGTTTGCGTCGAACTTTGCTCTCCTTGACCTTACAGCACAAAACCGGGATGGACATGAAGCACAGGCACTACACACACACTGGGTTTCGGACATGAAGTAAAGGGGTCTGTCCAAGTTCGCATTGAATTTTCTCTATTTGAACTTACAGCATACAATCGGGATGAACATGAAGCATACGCACTACACACACACTGGGTTTCAATGGAGTTGGCAAAGATGCGGATGGTCTGGCAGGACATCTACGACTTACTCAAGGCTGCCCAGGGAAAGACCCTCGTACAGATCCGCGATGCTAGGACGGTCGGCCTAATTCGCTTCCTCACTGAAGTCCTCGGTGAGCTTATGAGTGGTGTGGGATATATCTCCCATACTAAGAAGGTGATGTAGATGTAGGTCGGTATTAATGATGCTGGATGGCAGACGATCATAGCTCGTGCGGCATACCGGTATGCCTTGGCATGCAGGTTTGGCGTCGGCGGCTTGGTCTTCCTGCCTGTCACCACCAAGATGTACCAATCACACCGCTTCCTAAAGGCCTTAGGGATCCTTGACATCATCCAGCGTATTAAGGAGGCGGATGAGTCAAATGTCCTCCTTACTATCGCTGAGCATGCCGGGCGACTGTTTCTAGATGATATGTGGAAGAGTGCACCTGTTAACCTCCAGTTCATTGACGGCCGTGAGGTTACCTCTGGCATGCCTCCTATCGACTTCCTTCTGTCGCTCGAGAAGGTTGGAGAGGCGGCGGCACGGGCGGCGGGGTCTCCGGCGGCGCAGGAGCCAGCAGCACCGGCAGGTGGGGGCGCACGGCCGGCAGGCGGTGCGGCGGCGGCGGCGGCGGCGGTGGCCACAAGGCCGGCGATCATGTGGGCGGATCGCGCCGAGGTGTCGGCCGCCCGCGCCGAGGTGTCGGAGGCCCGCGCCGAGTTCTCGGCCGCCCGGGCGAGCATCTCGGCCGCCCGGGCGGACCGATAGTGCATGACGTTGGCCCACAACGACATAGGCTGCCACCGTCGTGGCAGTGGTGGTGGTCTCCGGCATATTCTTTTTCTAAAAAAAAAAAAGAAGAAGACAGAACCCGAAGGCGGCAAGCAGCAGCAGCAGGGAAGGGGCGCGCGAGGCAAGGCTCTTTTTTTTGTGAAAAAAAAAAAAAAAAAAAAAAAAAAAAAAAAAAAAAAAAAAAAAAAAAAAAAA